TGGGTCACTTGTGCCGATCCTTTCTTCGATCAGTCATCCCGCGCTGTAAGAAACTTTTTTCGTACAGCACCAGCGAGTGGGAGAAGAAAACAAAGGAGGAGGAAAGGGCGACCCTCCCCCACCGCTATATATATAAAGGATGTACTTCGCGTGCTCCGGAGGGAAACACAAGTATAAACGAGCTTACACGCGTGCTGGGTGCAGGGAGCTGGTGAAAAACAAGGGAAAGCCGGCATGACCTGATTTTACGGCCCTATACCATGTCTTGAAAAGTTTATGTCTGTCGCGTCTGCAGGGAGGAAGAACGAGGAAAATGGACAAAAACACGCGAGTCGCAAGGGTTTTTCTGTGCGCGGTACAACGAAATGTCCTTTTTTTTTCTCCTTCCTCTGTCATTATACTGGCACAAAAATTTGCTGAATTCACGGATACATCATGCGCCCGCGAAAAGTATACCATCGATCCACTGGTGGATTAATCTTCGATGAGGTGTGGGGAAGATTCATACCGCGATGTGTGTATATTTATGGACGATGGAGGAATTTCTTTTTTTTTTTTTTCGGTATCGATTCAAGACTTGGAGGGTGAAACTTGTGTGTGTGTGTCTTCCAACTGGAATGAAAAGCCATTATTCGCGTGGTCTATAGGTGCGATGGTGCGGTCAAAGTTAAAAGATCACAATTTGTTTTGTCCCGAGAAAAAACATTTTCACTCGTCTTTCTCTTTGAAAAGCTCACGTGATTCGTTTGAACGTGTAGACTGGGTGCAAAAATATTTCGAGTTAAAGGGACCTTTTCTATTAAACTGGATTCTTACGGGGCTCAAGTTATTTAGTGCTGCGGTAAAGCCCTTGCAATCGAGATACGCACCATACCCGTGTCCGTGGCCCCGTACAGGATCCAAATAATCAAGGGTACACGGCCAAGGGTGAACTGGCGCACGTGGTCTCCACAGGGTGCGAGCCAGAGTATTTACCAAGGGCAAATCGTTCCCATTACACCTGTATATATGGGCTGAATCATAATCGATACACCGGTACGCTTCCCGTCGCGGAGGAAAGTGGAAACTGCGGAGATGGAGAACCTATACCCCGTGCATCGCCCAGCTCGTGAATGAAGTCCATGTACATACCCGCGCGTGTATACACTGTATCCAGCATCGGTGGAGCGCTGAATTGAAAATCAGAGGGGACAACGTAAGAATTCCCAGCCGACGGGGCTAATTAGTCCCTCTGAATCGACCTGGTGTGACTTCCCTTGGTTTCATATGGTTATGGGTCTTGTACTACGCGTCCGTGACGTGGGTTTCATCAGCGCTGCCACCGAGGAGACACGAGGGTCCCTTTTTGTGTAGGTAATTTTCGCGGCTATTGTGGCTGGATACAAAGATCCCCCCCTCCCCCGAGTTAGGAGGAGAGGCACGTATTCCCTTCAATCATCGGAACAGATGCTCGTGTCAAAACACCATCGAGCCTACGGCCTCGTGTTGGTGGAAACGAAAGGGACGAGTAGATTAATTTCCCCCCCCCCCGCACGGCTCGTAGGTGCGATCGATAGTGCGACGCTGGGAATTATTGGAAGCGAAGCTGAGAAACGACAGGATTTCCTTGCGGTGTGCCCGGCAACGAAAGCCGCTAGGGGGGAGGTGGGGGAAATTCGCCCAATCACCGTACGAGAGATTGGTATGATCACGTTATTTTTATAAAACAGGGCTCAATTGGGGTTTACTACCGAGCAGTCGCGTTGAAATCAAGTAAAAGGTGATCTCGATGATAAACAGACGATGACTCTATAGTTTATCAGTACTGAGATATATGTCTGACCAAACGCGGGGGTCGACTACTGAACAATCGGCTAGAAAAGTGACAAAGTCGGATAAGGTACCACCACGGGTTAATTAATATCGAAACGTAGCTTGAAATGAAAATGTTGNTTTTTTTTTTTTTTTTTTTTTTAGTTTTAATCATCTTCTCCGAATGCGTTGAAATAGTGTTTATTGTTGAAACATTCATCAGTATTGTTTTGGTGAATCAGCAACATGGATTGTGAAGTGTCATTCGAAATACGGACTTCTACTTAGTTGGGTTTATTATCATCCCACACAAGTGTTTTGTTTCGACTGATAATAAAGTACAAATTTTAATTATGACAATATAGTACATATTGAATACGTACACATTGCTGTTTTACTTAAAAAGCAGTTTTCAGAGTTTAATAACGAATTGAGTCAGTATTATACTGTGATTAGGCAAAGCTGATATAGTTTTTCTTTTAAAAATTATTTTTCTTGGATAATACATTTTATTACTATGTAGCCACTTTAATCTATTGATGAGAGGTACTGAAATTTATGAATCATTAGAAAGTAGTTACCTTTATGTAATATTTTAATGAGTAAGAAATTTCTTTATTATTTATTATTTATATGAGGAATTAAAAAACACAAGTATAATCATTCATTGAAAAAATACCAACTTCAGTTTTAAGTATTGACGCAGGATATTTTATGCTCACGTGCTTTTTGAAAACAGTTTTCTCTTATTTTATTCAATTGAAATTACACTAGCAGAAAACCAATTTTAAATAGCAAACTTTGTCCGCTTTATTATTTATATATGTTAATTCACATTTTAATAATGTGCAAGGCCTTCTGCCAAATATGAACTCAATTATATGCATAAAATCCAGATTTATTTGATTCGTCATTGAAAAAACGTACTCTGAGCAATACAGTTTATAGGCAAGGAAAAAAAGAGACGGAGAAAAAAGAGAGAGGTTGTCGAATGCCGAGTGAAAGGATCACATGTTTTGCAATGATGTGTAAACATTTTTTGAGCTATATACAGCATACATATAGCAAACGTACAATATTTTTTCTGACCTCTTTTTGAATTAGGATTATATTTAAGAATGGATTTAGAATACAAGTTTCATACGATCTTAAAAAAAGAGACGTTTTTATTATTATTTTCCTCAGCTTAAATTACTGTCATTTCATTTGTCATATTTGTGTTATGTAGCTATTCATCCACTTGAGCTAATATCATTGTAAGTAAAACACATTATTTTTAATTATTCTTTTTTTGAATATAAGATCAATGGCCTTTTTTAATTTTATTTTATTTGCTTTGTTCCAAGAAACCAGCTTATCATCTTATTGGCGTAATAATTTACTTGAACGCATTGATTAAAGATCCTCAATGTAAGGTACGAATTAAAAAAAAAAAGTTTATTATAATATAAAATCTTGCAATTCATTATTTCAATTTGAACCCTGACAAAATTATTGTTCAAAGAGATGTTAAAAATCAGTTAATATAATTCAATAAATAAAGGGATATAATGAGTGTGGGAACACATTCTTCATAAATTTTAGCAACTAATTAGAAAATTTCTCAACTCTTTCCTGATTATAATATTAATCACACTCATAACGCAGGTTATTAATGCTTTGAACAGTACAAATTGACTAATAGTATTAACTTTCTCGCAGCGGATGTTATGATCAAGGTAACATTCTATATTTTTTTAGAAGCTTAAATACCTAACAAGGCCTGACTTGGTTAGATTTCCGTGCGTATAAATAGTTTTAATGTATTTCAGACTCAAGTTCTTGTACTGTAATTGGCTTAAACCTGTTTCTTCTTATTCTTCAATTAAAAATTATTTTTTATTATTTGTACTATATTTTTAATTCACAATAGTTTCAGGATAATTTTCATTTCCAATTTAATAAAAAATCTGGAATTACATAGTCGTACCGCTTAAGCCGGTCTACAATTATATATTTAAGTTGAGATATGTTGGAGGCCATAAACACGAAATATTTTTACATCAAATGGATCGGTAGCTTTAACTGTATCAACAAATAAAGCGGCTCAGGAAGCGTTTTAGGAAGTTTTTTTGAGTTTTCTTTAATTCTCGCTAAAATATCATTATGTATGTCTTACTGAGGTGTTACAGCAGAAAAAGGTATACTGAAGTATAAATGTCCCAAAGTAATCTATAAGTAATACTTGTGAGAATAGTTTTTAATTGGCCTTAATACAATTGTGTGATTGACAGCTGCAATGTACTGTGAAACTTATGGATCGTAGGATTAGATTGGATGCAACTTGTAACTATGATTGACAATAGTGCAGCTTCAATTGGGTTTAATAGAAACGTACAAACATTAGTGCCTCATCTCAAAGCTATCGAATCTTTTGACTTCTCGTGGACACTTTGAAATGAAAAGTTAGACTTGCAGTGATTATTAGGTGAATGCTTCCTTTTTTTTAAGAACGAAAGTAAAGATTTTTACGAATTCGTACTTGTTTCTTGTATTTAGAGAATCTTAATTCTATTCGAGGTACTTGTTTAATTTAAATTTGTTCAATAATTAAAAACTAAGGTGAGCATCACACATTTTATAACATTATGTACTATTAACTTATTATAATTAGCATATTGTTTTTTTTTTTAAATGCTTGTAATTATAAAATCAGCAAGTATTTCGCAACCCAAAAATTTTGATACCTATTTAATTTTAGTACTATACTATTTTTATTTTAATCACTAATGTTACTCATCATTATTGTTATTCATGCCGTCATTATCGTTATTCATATGGAATAATTTTTAAATAAAACTTACCATAAAAGTGACCTGTACATTTAACATTTATCGATGAGTTTAAAGTAAGAAAAAAGAAAACGTCATGTATCCCTGAATCTCATTTATTTGATACAAAACTTTTGCTACTTTTGATTGCAAATAATTTCAAGAGATTTCATTCAGAAAAATGACTGAAAGTTTAGGTTATCATCTTATCAGAAGATTTTTGGTTGAGCAAAGTGGCATTACTTTTTTTTTTCTTTTGTTAATACAAATGAAAAAATAAAAAAATAAAATGAAATGAAAAAATAAAAAAAATGCAAATTTGTAGTGTACACATAGTATTTAAAAACAATGCAACTCCACGTATATTGGCTAATGCTCACCTGAATTTTGCATCAACAGCAACGGCATAAAGCGACCAGGGTCATTTAGTACAGCAGTTAAGAAGGGATCAAAGCCGTTTCCGGTGTCCAAGTTAAGAGAGGCCATACCTCAGTGTTTCGCAGTTGGCGCGAAAAATCTTCTACTTCTCACCTTCGGCTCTAGCCTTGGATATCCCACGATACTTATCCCTGAGCTCCAAAAGGCCAACCCCCCAGTACCGGTCACGCTCGATGAACTTACATGGATTGGTTTGTTATTCATTTTATTTTGTTTAATTAGTTGAACTTCCCTTCAAAGTCAATTTTTTTTTCTTCTTTTTTTTGGCATGTCTGCTTGTGCTGTAAATTCATTGATTAAGTTAATATTGCACTTTATTGAAATACGAATTTTATATTGAAAAAATATATTATCATTATTCCTCTAATTTTTCAGAAATTCACCTTAAATATTAAATTAGACGATGCGTATATTATAAAAAAAAATATCAGGACTAAAACTATATTAAAAACACTGTTTCATACACCAAGTGAGACATTTTAAGTGTTAATTATTAATGTTAAGTAAAGTACCAATACTCAAATGCTCATGTACGTCAAGCTTTTTTAATTTATTTCAGTTGTACATTATTCTTAGTAGAGCTAGGGTTTCCCTGTATTGATTATATTTTTCTTACCTGTTCTTGTGGTTTTTCCTTCATATTTTCCTTTTGACGTTAAAAAGTCACGAGTTCCTCGTAAGATATTCCTTTTATCCATGGTCTCAAGCTTAAATGAAGTATTAATTTGTAACTCAACTTTTCGTGCAAAATATTCAAAAACTTTATTTTTATTGATACAATAACTTGTTTAAAAACTAAACTTTCTCAAGGCTAGTTACGTAAACGGAAACTTTTGTCAATTGTTGAAAATTGCATAACAAGGGTACATCTTTTTTACCATGTCTCAATTTGATTGGATTCATTTGAGTAACACCTTACTTCCTCAATTATGATCTATTTACTATCTATTTGTAGAAGAGTCGAAAGCATTGAAGTTTAAGAGGATTATCAAACCTGTTATCATTTATTTCGAGGAACTCGTGCTACGATGGTTAATACAGATTAGTGTTGATACGTTATTTCTAAAACAGTTTGGTCATTACCATTATTTATTTTTTCTCTAAACCAAGTTTAATTAAAAGTTTTGTAAAAAAAAAAAAAAAGATTGTAGTACTAATAATGATTCACAAATCGTTTATTTTTACAACCCGCAAATGTCATTTGAATCTCAGCCACGTGATCTCAGCTTGAACCAATCTTATGATGAACAAAAAAAAAATAAGCTCAAAAAATCATTCTCCTTTTTACAATAGGACGCGAAGCAAAAAACATAACGTTCCAACAAAAAGGCTCTTCTTCATTTTCTAATAATGTAAGAATGAGGGCACCATTAAGGTGATATTGCATTTCAGGAAGCATAAACCTATTTCTCGTGCCCCTGGGCGGCTTCGTGAGCGGCCCGGTGTCCCAAAGACTGGGCCGGCGGCGCACCATGATGCTATCGACGATCCCCTTCGTGATCGCGTGGCTCATCTTCTACTACGCCAAGAGCGCCAACATGCTGTTCCTCGCCCAGGCGCTGACCGGCATGACCGGAGGTCTCCTCGAGGCGCCGGTCTTGACTTACGTTGCCGAGGTCACGCAGCCCCACCTCAGGGGCATGCTGTCCGCCACCTCGACTATGGCCGTCATCTGCGGCGTGTTCACGCAGATGCTCACCGGCAGCCTCGTCGATTGGCGCACTGTGGCTCTCATCAACATCGTCTATCCCATTATTTGCTTCACGGCGCTCTACCTTGTTCCCGAAAGTCCGACTTGGCTAGCAGGTAATCATTTGTTTCGTGATGATTGTCTTTATGGTTTTATGGAGCGTCAGAATGTCTCAACGGGATCATAATGATGCACAAGGTTTAATAAATCATCAGAAATGCGAACTTCCGATATCTCACCTCACTTAAAAGTTTAAATATTAAAGCTTACAACATGAAATACTTTTTTTTTTTTCATTTAGGTGGATTGTTGTAATATGAAATTTAAATACTTGTGAAATCCTTGATTTGTGTCTAAGACAATTTTTGTCTAGAATGGAAAGTTGGATTTTTTTTTATCGAGAAACAATATTTCACTTGTGCAGGGGAATTAAAAACTTTGGCATAAGATGCGTGACCGTCGTGTGATGAGGGAAGAAATTAAAACATAAGTAATGTAATCATGGATTGTTAAAAAATAAAAATCTTTTGCATTGTTATCTCAAAAGTATATCTTCCCAACATGCTTTTTAACAACTGGTTGGAGTTTTTTTTACTTGAAACAATTTACTAACAATAGATTTATGAAATTGTCGAAAAAAAATAAAAACTATGATTTTGTCAGGATTACGTGTATTAAAATTTTGTCTTACTACTCTCATACAGTTTATAAAAAGATAAAATAAAATATCCCAATAAAATCAGTACAGGTAATGTTATTGCTCAACATATAATCATTTGTTATTTTAGAACTTTTTAGTAATTGATTACTCATTAAGTATATAAATCTTTTGATTGATGATTTCTTATTTTAATAATTTTTCAAACCAAAATAAAATTTTCTGTTAAGCAAAAAATTTGCTTTAATGGTTACACGTGTCGCGTTATTTTTTCGCTACTTATCCATCGTTCCCATTTACGTAACACGCGTGTTGCTTAATGGAACAACTTAACGAGGCGGTCGTAATTAATGAAATGGCATTTTTTAATGCACGTCAACGTCACGGTGACTGAATACCATTGTTATTTGAAAAACACGCAGTGCAGCTGAGTAAGCTTTGATTTTCAATTTTGTGCTTTTTGAGATACGGCAATTTTTCAATTAATTTTGTTGCTTTCTTTTGCACTTTTTTTTCACAATATTTAACGGTGATGAAGTGAAAAAAAAAAAAAAAATTCGTACCAGGAAGACACCTAAAAGGATATTATTAGGAAATGAACTTTTATAGACAAGGGCCGTCTGCTCGAGGCCGAAAGGGCGCTGTGCTGGTTGCGCGGCTGGGTGACCCCGGAACACGTGAGGAAGGAGTTCCGCGACCTGTGCGAGACCTTCAATAGGCCAGTCACCGTCACGACCATCAACTCCATCGTTCGCGAGTCCCACAGTCTGCCGAAGCAACCGCCGAAAAAATCCTGGCACGCGTACACGGAGAGGACCTTTTACATGCCCTTCGCCCTCGTCGCTTGGGCCTTTTTCATCAATGCTTTTGGTGGTATCATGGTACTGCAAGTGTTTGCGGTCGTTATTCTCGACGAGCTCAATACGCCCATTGACAAGTAAGATTTTTGGTTTAGTACTTGCTGCAGAGCTAATTATACGTTTGTGCTGAAGTGACAGGATTTAAAAGCTGCTGTGTGGGGTTTCTTAACAAGTTATACAATAGGGTAACTTTATGATTTTAAATGAAATTTTTACACAAAGTCTACGATGTTGTGTGTATTGTGTACATTATTTGGTCTTAAAATTATTCTCTCAAGACCCATAGAATTTTTGATCTTTAAATAATATTTATTAATTTTTTTAGAGAGACCAGCTTTAATTGCTGCATGTTTTTACTTTAAGCAATGATAACTCACTAGGTTTCATCAGATCAAGCATTTTTGGAACTAAGTTCAGTTAAGTTACAATTTCTTTCAAAGCTTAAATGAGCTTTCAAAAGTTATTTTTGATAAAAAAAAGTTTGGGTGTGGAAGACCTGTACTATAATTTTCAATATTCCACCGTTAACTTGTACGATCGGGAAAAAAACAAAATTTGTAAACGGATAAAGAGAAACATGACCCATTTAATCAATATTGCAACGAATACAGTGGAAATAAAAAAAATTTCATACAAAAAAAAAAGAAAAAAAAATGTTTCTCAAATTTACCAGGTACAAGGCAACGGTGATAGTGGGAGTGGCTCAGGTCCTCGGGACGATAATCTGCGTGTTCATAATCCACTTCACGGGCAAGCGGAAGTTGTCCTTCGTCTCGGTCTTCTTCACGGGTCTGTCCCTCCTCATGATCTCCCTGTACGGGTTCCTGGGGACGCGGGGCACCATCGACGAGTCGCGATTCACTTGGATCCCCACCAGCCTGATGGTGTCGGCGGCCTTCTTCTCCCACATCGGCCTGAAGATGCTGCCCTGGATCCTCGCGGGCGAGGTCTTTCCTCCAGATGTGCGGAGCGTCGCCACCGGCTCGGCTGGATCGATCGGCTACATATTTTCCTCCGTGGCCAGCAAACTGTTTCTCTACATGAAGAACGGCATGACACTGCCCGGCACCTTCCTGTTTTACGCCCTCGTGAACTTTGCCGGTGTCGTTGGGCTGTACTTCATGCTGCCCGAGACCGAGGGTAGGACTCTCAAGGAGATAGAGGAGCACTTTGCAGGGGTTCAGAAGCTGCAGGACAGACCCAAGAAGGACCAGATTGCCTGTAAGGAGAGCTGGGCCGCCGCCAATCCTCAGCCTGTCAAGGACGACCTCGAGAGCCGGCTGTAGAACGAAGGAGGCAAGAGCTCCCTTTGAAGATCATTTTTTTTTTTTTCCATACCTTTTAAAGATTTATGAATGTATATGCCAATGATAGTATTTTTTTGCGTCAGTGTATCGTAGTTCGAGGTTCCAGGCTTGCCCTCGCTGCGAACAATTGAAACGATTTTTGTATTTGATGTATCAACGCAGTTTGTAGGTCTGACTGATTTTTTTTTTTTGCGCGTTGCATGGAGCGAGTTTTATTTTTGGTCAATGTAGTTAATACCTACTTTCTATTTTAAGGAGTCTTTTAGGATTATTATTATGTGTTTTTTTAAATGATAAGTTGCCGTGGTAGTTTTTAATGTTTTCCATCAAAAATGGACCTGAATGGTAACTTATTGTTCGGACCAGAGTTACTGTTTTATTACCAACGTGGTGGTGTGGACGAATGTTGATTTTTTTTTTTTTTAATAAAATGTTTTTTCTATCACAAGTGCAATAGGGACACTTCTCATTGTAACAGGTTTTTATCTTATCTTACTAATATATAAAGCAAAAGCGCTAAAACCGTTGTAATCGCTAACCGCGAAAACTACTGAACCGATTTTGTTGAAATTTTGCACACTGATTCATGATACTTCCTAGATGGTTTTAGTATAGTTTTTATCGTAAAAAATTTAATAACAACAGCAATAAATGAGCTCAAAGTTTTGCAAAAATACGCCAGCTTTTTACTTTAGTTCAGTAAAATCCGCTAGGTGGCGTCGACATAAAGTCGAAGCTACCTGCAACATAATTAAATAAGTGTGGTTATAACAGGATGGAGCGTCTCTACGGTGTTGTAGTCGAGTTTCAGTAGTTCAACGATCTGTGTATAGAATGGCATTGATAGTCTTGCTGGTGGGTATCTCGGTTGCGGACGACACTCTTCTCGAAGGGGAAAGGGACCTAGATGTCCATTCACCCTGAATCTCGACGAGTGCGATAAAAAAAAAAAAATTCCAATCTATGCTGTCTCTGCCACAATACCAGGAGACATATTACCAACTCTTCAAACTTCAGAGCTGTGTGACAGTTCCACCATCTCACCTGGTGCATTTAGAGAATTTGTGGCCACAAATGTAAGCCAGGGAAAACAGCTCTGAGGGGCATGGGCAGCCACAACGGCGTCAACGGCTATCTTTTTCGTCGTCACGTCCCCAACGCGCTTACCGCCAGCTCTTCATCATCAGGAATAATAATAAAGAATAGCCTGTAAGTTTCACCACTGGCGCTTTTTAGGGCCATTATAAGTATTTACGTTCCCTACTTAACCATCAATTTCATCGGTTCTTTTTAGGATCCACCTAAGTGTAAACTACCTTGCCAACAAATACATTTTTATTACCATTTCCGGAAGCGATTCGTCGACTAAAAGACTATATTAACTAAAGACGGGCACTATTAAACCAAGTCAGCCATTCACTAGTAGACGTCACCTGCGGAGTTGTTCTTCGCAAGGCTGGAAAACCCGGTGACCAACGACCCTATACTACCCTCTCGACTCTAAGCATTCAACCAGGAATCACTGATCCTCTCCAAGGTCTGCGTTGGGCAAACCTATAACAGCTATGAAGAAAAAAAAACTTGAGCCAACGGGACAGCCTCCACTGGACAAGTATTACTAATCAATCTCCCCATCTAAGATCACCAATACAACTGAATCTGCAAATAAAAAAGGTGCTTTAGACACTAACGTCTTCGACGTTATACCAGGAGACGTTGGGAAAGAGCACTACAACTAGCCCCAAAGCTTCGGACTTTGTAATTTTTCTCCCAATCAGTCTGTGTCTTCAACAGCAAGCCAGAGAAAATCACCCTGAGGTATCCAGGCAGTCACAATTGTTGTTAACTGCAGTCAAGAAAGAGTTAACTTAAGAAGCTCACCGGTCTTTTTTAGGGCCATCGGACGTCGAACTACCTAGCCATTAAATATATTAAAATTAACAAAGTTGACTGAAACTAGTCTTTAGGGGTCATAAAGGTCGTAAGCATGCTAATAGTCGCAAAAGGGTATATTGGAAAGAAAACTTCTAATGTATCTAATAAATACAATTTGAGGCGTCAAGAAACTGACGCAGAAAATTTATCGAGATTGAAACAGCAGCGAGATTGAGAGATCAGCTTTTCATAGTACCCTCACAGCAATCTCTGTCTTTAAAGATCCTACTTCAGATTTTTTAATGAGTAGAAAATGTATTTGTGTTTTTGTGGCAATAAAAATGTAGGGTTTAAGGTCCAGGACTTTGTTGCTCTGGTAATAAAGTTGTGAGATATGAGAAAAAAAAATTTTTTTTTAATATAAATTTTTTGGCGGTTTAAAATCTAAACAGCTTTAAAAAATAGCCGTTTTCGTGAATTACACGGGAGAAACTGTAAATCAACGGCTTCTTATGGCCACCGATTATTTTATGGCATAAAGAACGCACGGTATCTTTCAGCATAATTATTTTTTTGAATTTTTACACCTTATTATTTGACCAAATAAACTATATGGATTGCGAAAAAATATGTTTTTAATAAGATTTTTGTTCTGAGATGTGTCAGGAATATGTGCAAAATTTCTAACTGAAAATGTTTCACATTACATGTCAACACACTACGGTGTTTTATTTAGTAAGTCTCGGGCGAAGCCGAGACGGGGGGCTGCTAGTTTCACATAACTGTAATTATAGAAAAGTTACGCATTTTTAGTTGTTATATTAAAGACATTTCTCTGGATTGTTGAATGCAACAATTAATAACACGCACAAAGTACGGCATGGATAGCGTCTCTAGGTTTCCATTCTTTTGAAACAAAAGAGAATAACGTTGTCTTTTACATTATGTTTTTTTTTTTTTTTATCAGTATTTTACCATAAACAAAGTTTTAAGTTACCTGTGTTTATTTGTAGCTAAAGAGTTTATTTTAAAATAATATTCTTTGAACTGTTTATCTATTTTTATCGAGCAGCCAAGAAGTTAGATTTGAACTAAAAGTTGTACACCTATTTCCATAATAAAAATTTCGTTTTTGTAAAAAATTTATAAAGTTTATATGTAAGAACAATTTTATTATTAGCATCCTCAATAAATTAGAATGTATTAGTCAGATTAATAAGATGAAAATGATTTTATTGGGTTACAAGCAAACTTATCACTGAAGCCATATAGCCAGTTTTTTGAAGTTCTAACATTGTTCAAAGGCCATTATATACCTCTCTTTAAAGTGATAAACGGTAACTTTGGCACACCACCGTTTCCGTAGTACTGATAGTTTACCATGTTTTTGGTCTCCGCCAGTACGATGGATTGGAATTCGGGGATAATGATATTGATAGCCCAAAGATTACCACCGTCTAAGGCCAAACTAGCCAAGTTATTTGGATCCTCCGTCCATTTGATGTCAAGTTCAGTTACATTGGAGCGAGGACTGTTTAAATCCCACTTGTAGACGGACAAGGAATTCTCTACGGTAAAGAAAACAGTACCGGTGTTAGAAGTGGTCGCGTCAGACCATGTGAACGGTGTCTTGCTCAACTCTCTAGCCTCGCCATCGATACTCGACGCTAAGCTCGGACTCCTCAGTACTCGTGTGGGAACCCCGAGTACTTTGTTACCCTCTAACGACGACACGATGTACAGCACTCGACTGCCTTCGGTATCCGCCGGTGAGAGCATTAGCTCTTTGATCTTGAAGTCGTACTCGATTCTCCACGAGGTAAGCTTCTGCAGTGAGAAGATAATCAAGCCCGCATTACTTTTATCCTCCTCATCGCAGTCGTAGATGTAGGCGAAGCCACCGTCCTCGTGATCCAGGAGGATTTTACAGAATACCGAGGACCCAGGTTTGGCCACGTTTGGTGGAAGGGAGTAGTTCAGGAGCACCTCACCCCCGTTCTCGAGGTCGAGGATCATTAAACGGGGTGGGCACGTGATTACTTTGTCGGTAGTCGTGTTGTAGTACCCCCATCCATTGTCCATCAGCCACATTCTGCCCATCGGGTCGATTTCAATGAACCAGACGGATTGAAAGCTCGAGCAGTCACCGCCCATCTTCTGCATCTCCCAGTTGGGGTACGGCCGGAGCAATGGAGCCTTGTTTCCATTTATCGATGTGGTTGGGATTGTGGCCAGTGTCACCGCTACACCACCTGTCCAACGGGGTATGGTCAGATACGCATTGTCCTTCCAAAATCTGATGTTCGTCAAGCAGTTATAAAGAGGCACGTAGGACCCATCCTTGTCCGCTTGTTGGTACACCTCGTACGAGGGCCAGGTATAGTTTATTCCGCTCTTCCAGTAGAATCCTACTTTCGGGTGCTTTTGAGCCAAAGTTAAGGCGTAGAGCAGACTTAAGAGCATCCAATGTTTAAGTAGCATTTCTGACCTAAAAAAAATTTGGGAGTACTTGAACTGCACTTGTTAATCTGTATACGTGCAACTCATGAAGCAAATAACAAAATGTACCTCAGAGCAGCACTTCGACTTTGGTGGATTATATACGATACTTCACAATTTACTTTCGTTGGTTTGATATTAGAGAGAAGAGCAGCTGTTAATTTCTAACCAAGTGTGAAAGCAGCACTGAAGAATTTATTTGAAGTAAAGAGCTGCTTCGTAGCGTTATTTTATTACGAGCGTAGATATTGCGTCACCGCAGAAACGTTCTTTAAAAAATGATGAGAACAGAGCAGTTGTAGATAAGAGTTCTTTTGATATAGAATTGTGGTAAACAATCAAACTTTTCTTTTCATGTATTGCTTTAAAAGATAATGATTTTACACAGTGTGGATTTGGGTGGTCTTAACACGCATGGCAGCCAATAGTACGAAAATTTTTGGAAGAAAGAGATGAAAATTCGGTGATTTGGAAAGGTAAAAATCGAATGGATGGAACATTGAATGCACGAAGATTAAAATGGAGGAGGATTCTTAAGCCTGTTGTAATATTTTTGATGGCATCAAAAAATTACATGAAAATAAAAATGACTAACTGTAGCTTTGACCTCATAGAAGCTTTAAATCCTATCACTAAGATGAAGACATCAAGTTTCCGCTCATAGAAGTTGAAAAGTGTTTTTCTTTAAAATAGTACACCGAGTTTTTTAAATAGATGATAAGTTTATAAAAAACGTGCATTAGCAACATTTTGGAATTAAGTATGACAGTATACCAGAAAAATAATGAGCTTTTTTTTGTTGTTACAGCCACATTTTCTCCAGCACACGTTGAAAAATCCAAGTCTTGCGTAGTTGATTGGATTTAATTAAGATAACGAGCAATTATAAAAGAGCGTATTCGAATAGTAACTGCGACAAAATAAAAAATTTTCGAAGCCACTTGTGCTGAATGACTGATAATGTACTATGAAAGATTGCCCGTGACTTCTTTTAAAATCTAACGAAAGAATCATTTACTGTACTTAATCACAAAAGTTTGGTTTGAGCCCCTCAAATAATACAGTACTATCTATGACTTGTAGACTTTTAGGCAAGGATTAACAAAAAAGATTGAAAAATAAAGATTGATATACAATCATAACTTATATAAAATATATTATTCCACTTAGAGGACATATGTATATTGTAGCGTTTAAATGAAAACTTAAGAAGGGTTACAAAGATTTAGCTTGTTTAGAAAGATTCCAGAGAACAAACAACTTCAGCAAATTTTTTAATAATAATAATACAAATAATAAAAATACAAATAATAATAACAATAATAGTAATCACATGAAGCACAGCTACCACAACCAGTCAGATTAATTGTTTTCTTTGCAGATGGAGGTTTAGTTATACCTGTCGATAACAAATAGTATTTCGAAAAGTACATAAAAAGTTCTAAAAATAATCGTGAAGAATATAAAAATGAATAATCTGTGATTACAGAGACCTTGTGCATAAAAAATTCTTCAACCATTAATGAGCTAAAATTAAATAGTACAATTTTTTTTGTTTAATTTTTAGTAAATAAAATGTATGCTTGTGGTATTTTACTGTTACTTACAATAAATATCGTAGGTTCACCATGGTGAAAAAAGTTCGGTTACTATAAAAATAATTTTTTTAAAAATTATTACATTTATGTACAAAGTAAATATGGAATTATATATTTGGAACATATATGTTTATACATATCATATAATAATATTTTCTGCAATAATATTTACCAAGAGTGTCTATGACCGCAGGCTTATAGTAAAAAATACTGCAGCTATTTTTCCTCATTGAGGAATCTCCTCCAACATTATAAGTAAATAATATTTTTATCATTATAAATTTTTGCTTCGTAACAGATCCATCGTAAGATGACAAAATCAAGCCAGTTTTTTAAGACGGTGAAAAAACTATATTTGAATGAGGATAATCAGAATACTGTTTTCATATCAAACAAAAATAAAAAGTCTTTCCAACGTGTTTTTGAAAAATTATTAAGCTTGGTAAAATTTTAATCATACGGTACAATAAGTACAAGCAGTAAAAATGGCAATACCACAATATGTATAAGCTTTACTTACAAATAATTGTATGCAATGAACAATTGTTACAGTAATATATATAAAGGAGTCTTGACAAACGAAAACATGGCAAAAAGTTACAATTACCAAGCCCAATGTAATATCTAGTATTGATCTTATGACGAGGGCCAATTCTTTTCTTTTTTTCCTAGTTTCCTTATGCCAGAATTATCAAGAAGGAGAAAAATATATGAGCTGTAGCTTCATCCATCCATAGTAGTCTATAGCCTAGAGACAAGAAAAAATTCGATTTAATCTTATGTATTTCAGTAAAGAAAAATTGGTCATTCCTCTACGGAATTTCCCCAGAAATCCCCAAGAACAAACTCCAATTGTTTATTTAGCTTTTTGATTAATATGTTTTCATTTTTATTCTTCCCACAAGAATTTTACAACCGTCAATATTTTGATCATTATTTGTGGTTTATAAGACGTTTATGGCATAAAAGTGTGAAAAAAAATTTTTACAACGAAAAAATTTTAATCAACTTAGAAAAATTATCGTATCAGTTTAAGTATAATTTTTAACAATTTTTTTAAATCATCAACAGCCGAAGCCCGTGTTTTTCCCCACGCGTACTGCAACCAGTTGGCCACCTCGACATAGGAAAGTGGTATAGATAGATGGGAGCGCAGAGCTGCCACTAGCTATCACAATACGACTTTCTTGATTTTTTTAGCTCAGCAATTTCTTGTGTCTTGGGTTCAGAGTAAGCTAGAACATGCTTTTTTTTTAGTTCATGATTTTTTAAAGTAAATAAAATGTTTTTTTTGGAAAAAAATACAAAGAATTGGTTAAGATATTTGCAATTGTTAGGATTGAGGAATTAAATTTCTAGTGGCAGAACCTTACGAAAATGAATGTTGTTGTTTGTTTATAATTATTAACATTAATAATGTCTATATTTAATATACAATATTTTTATTGCGGAAAAATGTCGATAAATCGACAATTAAGTTTGAAATGACACTTTTAGTTTCAGAAATAAATTGACAAAAAATTAATAACTAGTTTGTAATTTTACAAATAGCTTTTTGGTTTGCAGAATAATGTCTATGCTTTTTCATGGTAACGTTTCATTTTTTTCTACGTTGATTTACATTTTTTTTGTAAAAATTTTTAATTAAGTTTTTTTACCATTATAAAAAAAGAATAATGGATTTTCAAAAAGGTCTAATTTATATGAAATTTTTTCTACTGGAAAACGTAAGATTAAAAAAGTCCGTTGGGCAATAGATTATAGTCAAATATGATTGACCAAGATTTAAGCTTTAGTTTCCCGTGTGGGTGTATGTTATATTTTCCCTCCCTCGTGTTTCTTTATCTGTTAGAAGAGAAAGTCTCTGATGTTTTGCCTGCATATGAAACTTTTGTCTAATCTCTCATATTTTAATCCAAGAGCTTATTTTACTACATTTATGCCAGAGTTGTAATATCATGGCGTTGGAAAAACCCAAGATGAAGATTTATCAAATATGTATGGAGGTATGATTGTTACGTAGCATTAAGTCAAAAAGGTGTAACGTGGTATTTTAAAAAATTTATCTATTAAAAATAAATTTTATTTTTCAAGTCAAGTTTGTCATTTGCAGATGACATCTTGCATATTTAAGTTAATGAAAAATAGTACCAAAAAAACTCTGATCTATAAAAACATAAGATTCAAAATAGATCCCGCTACTTTATAAAACGTTGTTACAATAAGTTATAAAAGTTTTACTTTTTGTGTGTGATAAAAACAAATGCATTATAGTATTTTGCTATCAATTTTGTTTGTAAGTTAGTTCTAGATAACATTTATTAGAAAAAGTTTAAAAATTCTTTACTCAAAAGTCTCTACAATCATGGACTATTCATGTCTATATCTTTATATTGCTGACGATTATTGAGTCATAATAATTGTTGAAATTTCAATAACTGTTTATACCTACTTTTATTTTCACGAACCAAATATATTAAAGAAAAAAAAAAAATAACAGGAAAAATTTTATTCGATACGGCTACTTATGCAATAAAGTTCTGCAATTTTTTGAATATTTACCACCCTTAATTTTGAAGGCTGAATATATATTTTACACGAATTGATTCTATATAATGACAATATTTTACATAACATATTTCATGTACTTACGTTTCACATTTGACTTCAACCTACAAGTATTATGGACTGTGATAATCGAAAACTTTTTAATATCCAACTTGCACATTATACAACTTAAAGAGATAAAATTTTCTAAACGAACTGCGGCATTTTATAAATAAGCTAAATAATTGCAATCCTTTATCAGTTTTTATCGAAACAGGATGGTTAATAAATTAATTTAGATACCACAATTGATAAGTGAACAAAAAATAATTAAATTATTTTTAAAAGAACCTACATAAAGTAAGAAATGTTAATTTTTTAGAAGGTATCTGTTTATAATTGACTGAAATTTTTCAAGAATTTAACGAGTTAGTAATTCTATAAAAATCTCTATGTAGAAGAAATAAGTTTGACAATTTTTAAAATAATTGTAAAATGCACTAGTACAACAATTTTTTCAAAGAACTTAAGATCTCGAGACACTAAAAAACTTTCTTTTTACTGTATTCACTCGTACCCATAAAACGTTTAAAAAATTGACTGCCGATTCCATGAAGATTAATTTTGAGTGTTGCAATATAGGCTAAAATATATCTGTTATTACAGTCAATCATGTCTTTAATATAATAATTGTAAAAAGCTATGATTAATTGTTAATTTATCTTTTCTTTTTAATAACTACTGTAGTTCAATTCCACGTATAATCTGATGATTTCCCTCCAATTGTTCATTTAAATTTTTTTTTTTTTTTTTCATTAAAATATTTTCCAAGAATATTTACAGTATTAGTCTACGTTTGACATTTGTTGTTCTAAGGCAGTTAACAATATGTTTTAAATCACACTTAAATTTTTTATGGGCTTGCCATCACTGTACAGATAAATAAGCGATAAAGCCACGTATAAAAGAATATTGTAAAAGACTGTTCAGCTTAGGTATGTAGTTTAATTCCTTACAGTCAAGTTGGTAAGTATTAATCTGGTTTTCAGCCATATCGTATGTTTTTTTATTTATTTATTCGTTTAATACTAAATATGTAAATAGTAAAGTGTCCCAGAGAAAGCTTATTACAAAAAACATTTTTCATATTTTTGTTTTCTTATTATAAAATCTTGTACTACTAGAAATAAATTTTGAAGTCACAAGTAAAAATATGTTGTAGATTTAAAAAAAAAAAAATCAAGTTTCTTGCTACTTTCGTATTTTGTGCAACAGATGCGGGGTATTTGTATTATGGTCTCAACGTAAAATGTATAATTCTAAGAAATTGCATAGGTATAAGCAAACTCTTTAAACTCATTTTGTAACGTAATTCTGTGAAACGTTTATATCCAAGCTACTGTAAAAATTTTTTTTATAAAAATGGAGTAACAAAGATAATTTTTTTATTTATTCATTAGCAACGTATCAAAATTTCTTCTTTGAGATAAAATCAATTCTACCGCAAATCACTAAAGTTAGTGGCAAATTTAAAGCCATCTGTTAAGTTGAATCTGAAGTAAATAATAAACACTTCAATCAAACTTTAATTTTATGTACATGCAGCTAATATTATAAATCGTTGTACACATCATTAGATTTTAGCGAACAACACTTATTAGGTGTTGAAAATTATTATTTGTCTTATTCAACTATTATTTTCTTATAATCTACTGGCAGCTGTTTATTAAAATGCCATCGCTAATTTCCACGGTGACAGTCGTGGTTTTCCTAATCGGTGTTATCTCTGTATCTACTGTTGATATTGATCCAAGGTTTAGAGTAGTATGCTATTGGAATTCACTGTCCTCTTTGCAAATGGGTAAGTGATGTCTTGTTAAAATTATTTTATCTGAATCCACTCAAATTCAATCAAAATTAAAAAATATAAAGACAATCAAGATTACTTAAAAAACACAACTTAATATTTAGTATTAGTATTGGAGTAGATACGTGAGAAATGAGCATTTAGTTTATCATAGTAATTTATGTTTCTTTAACTTATTCTAACTTATTTTAATTTATTATCATAATTAATGTCACTTACGCCCATAGTGTTTTATTGAATCGATTCACTAATTTTGACTAAGTATGTAAAACATACATCTCTTAGTTAAAAAAAAATAACAATAATAAGAAATTTTCCATTTTATCTTTACTTTTTGTAAGCAAAATAAACAATATGCTTGACTGGGAATGATGCTTCAGGTACTAGAAAGTTTGAACTGCAACACATGAAGGTGGCTATGCCAAGCTGCACACACTTGATTTACGGCTTTGCCAGGATAGACTCAAAGACCATGGGGGTGTTTTTGGATCCATACCAAGATAAGAATCATCACGTAAACTCTTACAGTGAAGTAATTAAAATAAAAAAAGACTTTCCAAAAATTAAGATCCTTTCATCCATCGGAGGCAATGCTGATCCTGTTGAGGGCACAAACAACAAGTACCTTACCTTGGTAAGTTATTACACTAATTTGATTTTTATTTTTTGTGAGATTAATTTCTTTGAGAATATTCTTGATACAAGTGAGCAACAAAACCATACAATCTGCATCTTATTACCCATAAATTGTGAAAGAGACACTTTGGTGACTTGAGTAAGGTTTCATTATTTTGCCAATTTAAACTGTATAAAATTATGAAAAATCTCCACCGTAAGGTTTGATTTACCATTGACTAGTGCTAAATAAATTCATCTGGGCTAATTTTATTAAATTATTAAGTTATTTTGCTCACATACTGTATCAGAATTGGTCTCCTCATCTACTTCCCTTTTACCATGTTTTATGTAATTAATAATAAATTTGACGTGAATATGTAATTTTCTAAAATTTCGTTAACTTAAAAAGTTATATAAAAAATCTTTTATTTCTTAGATTTAATGAAAAAAAAAAAAAAAAAAAAACCCTAAACAGTATTATTCAAGTATTTGAAAACTCCGTGTGACCAAGTAATGTTATTTCTGCTTGGGTCCTATAAAAATTACTAGTCAGTACTTATCAAAACAATTCATCACGTATATAAAATCAAGATGCGATAAATATTTTTATGTACTTTCCGATGTTAGAGAAAAAGTTTTGTACTGTTGCAACAAATTTTGTAGTAATTTAAGTTACAGTGAATATTAACTATATCAAGGGTGATAGAGTATACTGCCTTTATATTTTCAGAACAAATATCCTTAATATTTTTATTAACTTAATAACGTGAAATTTTACGCTATGTTTATCAATTAAGCTATTTTTTTTCAATATATGTTTACTGTCGAAAAAATATTTATTTCTAATTTTAGATTGAATCGTCAAAGACAAGGACACTTTTTGTAGAATCGGTTAAAAAACTGCTCAATAAATATAAATTTGATGGTGTTGATCTAGCATGGCAGTTTCCTAACATCTATACGAAAAGCTGTAAAAAAATGGTATTCTTTTACTTCCTGTGAATCAAAAGAAAAGAATCATGGAGATGGCTTTGCAACTATGGTTCAAAATTTAAGGAAGGAGCTTCGTAATGTAAACCTTACCATCACTGTTTTGCCTAACATCGATTTTACTGGTAATAAATAAAAAAGTATATTTTATCAATCCTAATATTTATAATGCCAGATAATAGTAACTTAAATTTTCATTTATTAATTATAACGTGCAACTCACTTCGTGAGTCTCACGTTGTTTGATGCCTTTTTATTCTTTAAAACAAAAATCATTCTGTATTTCTAAAGTACTTATTGTATTTTAACTAAAATGGAATTCAGGTACACCTTCATATAACTGTGGTACTTAGTATAACTATAGTCTAGCATTTAAGTTGAAAAAATATTAAAATTTGTTATCATACTCGTACTATTTGAGTGTCTTTTTAAACGACTCTGTGCATCAAAATAAAAATAAATTATTCATATTGAACGTACAAAAATATGTATATATATTTTAGTGTATTATGACGTCGAGAAAATACTGCCAAACATTGATGCAGTTCACCTCCTTGCTTTTGATCAAATCAATCCAAAAAATTCTCCGAATTTAGCTGATTACCCTGCACCATTTTTGGGAAGTCAGTCCAACAGTATGGAGGGTCAGATAAGGTATGATAAATCAAAATAAAACAATATGTACGAGTATTTTACCTTTTTTTTGTTTAACAATTTTAAAATTGACACAAGTAGTTGTTTCAATCGTGAGAGTTTAAAATTTACTACTATAAGCACAGCTTAAAGGTAAAATTGCACTAATCGATTATATCACAATAAAGGTGATTGATGGAATGACATCATGAACTTGTCATCGATTATTAACTTATTGTGTGATGGTCAATATCTTTGTAAATCGTAAAAAACTTTTATTTTATAATTTTTGCAACTTCTGGTGAGTGAAATATTACTGTGAAATCCAAAAATAATTAAAAATATACGAAACTCTGATGTTTTTCAGTTACTGGTTGAAGAATGATATGTCGAATAAAAAAGTTATTGTTGGGATACCAGCGTTCGCTCGCGGCTGGAAATTGAGTGGAAACAATCTCAATTCCAAAGGAAACCCTCCACTAAAAGCAAACGGTCCGGGTGTCAAGGAGCCTACCACCACTATTCCTGGTTTTCTCTTTAGGGTTGGAGTTTGTTCAATTTTGAGAAAAACTAGTGGTGAGCTCCATCGCGGTAGCGACCCAAACTTGATCAACGGTGCTTACATTTACAAATAGCCAAAGGCGTAACCAAAGAAAGAATATATGAAGTAAGCGACACCAGCGCAGATAGTGGCTCAAAATGTAAACCTATCTGGGACCGTAAGATGGACCTTCTTATCCAAACTTTTTGAAACGCGTGACATAACATCCAAGGCTCTCTTTTCTTCAAAATTTCTTAACTTTTTTTTTCATTATTTCCTACGATCCCAAAGGACCTGAGCTCGCCTATTGCTCCACGCCAGTCTACGGCTACCCTCGAATTGTCAAAGATCCCAACTCAAATCGAACGAAATAAAATTAGTCGAATTGGTCGCCATCGGCACTAGAGTCAATCTTCCCTGCAAGATCAAAAGAGTTTAATTAACAGTCATCGCCAACTCGTCCATCCAAAGCCTCGCACGTACGTACAGCAACAGCTCCGTTCCACCAGACGTCGCTACCGGTTCCGCGTCCCGGCGAAACATCGGCCGACCAAGGAACGAGAGGAAAGCCGCGCGCGTACACACGAGCAACAGGTTTTCTAATGCCCGCACGGCCGCGCTGAGAAAGAACGGCTACGGACACGCGAGAGCGGGACATAATATTCCGGCAAGCTCCGATGATCCGCGAAAACGCGCGTGCACCAGTCTGTCCCGCATTTTCAGCTTAGAAAGTTGTGCGCGGTGGGGCCGATCTTCCGTTCTCGCGCCTTTATACCGAGCTCCCCGGGGCTCGACAAATGAGAAAAATACGTGGGCAAGGAGAGGTCGAGTGACGCAATGGGCAAGCTGGGCTTCAACGTGTCGAAGAAGCAGAGACCGATCGAGGGGAAGGACGCGTCGTATTGCGAGTGCGGAGGAGACAGCGTGCGGCCGATCGGCGGGAGCTGCAACGAGGCAGGTGCCGGGGCGCTGGACGAGTACGACGTAGACGATGCCGACGATGAGGAGAGTATGCTGGGTGGGAGCGAGTACTCGAGGCAGCAACAGATACAGCAGCACTCGGAGCCGAGCAAGAAGGTAAAATATACCGGTCGACTCTTACCGATCGGCCTTTTGTCGGGAGCTGTTTGACGATCGACCGGCAAATCATAGCTTGGTTTCATGCTCCGGTGCCGCTCAGTGCTCTGGAACTATTTGATCGTGTGGTCTGAGTGGTTTTTTTTTTTTTTTTTTTATTAATCCCAACAATGCAATGACTCACCGTTTTATTTGGAATCGATCGCTTGGTGCAAATTTTTATGACATTCTTGTAACAAACGATCGGACGAACATATAATTGTGTCACTTTGTGATTTTTTTGCAGATATTTTTGATGTGCCTTATTGCAACGACGGTGGTGGCTTGTTTTATTCTTTACGCAGCTATGCCTCAGTTAGTCGATTACCTGACTGAGCCCAATGGTAAGATCATATGTAACTGATTGATTAGATGCATTTGACCTCCAAACATAGCGTAAAGTTTTCATAATTGGTTGCAACTGGAGTTTTGAAATCATTTCGACTAAATAATTTAATTTAATTCATGTCAATTTTTAGTTACGCGCATTAATTACTCATTTGCTGCTTTAATTTTAAAGTAGTAAAATGTCTATAATTCCCTATTTATTTATTTCATAATACTCATTCAGTAAGTTAATAACTGTACAATAGGTGTTTAAAATAATGTCTAATCTATGAAATGTAAATTTCTTTATGTCTAGACACAAAACTAGAAAGCAGTATATATTCGCATCAAAAATCAGTAGTGGAGCTTCCCGACATGGAAAGATCGCCGAGGAATCAAGAACGACTTGACATCATGCGGAGATTCAACGCCTTGCAGCAAAAATATAAAGAACTACAGATTCAATACAAAAAAGCCGAAGAGGCATACTTAAAAAAACTACATAATGCTGCGGCCGAGGAAAATCTCGGGACGCAAGATCCAGAAGTAAAAATAGTTAATGGTTTCGCAGAACCAGACAAGATAGAAATTTACAAGCTTGAAGACATAAAAAATGTTCACGAGGATACAAGTAAAAAGCCTGTGGAGGAGAAAAAAGTAGTCAATTAGTACATAAGCCTAAAATATGTTTGTCTTTGGTTCGAGTCTAAACCACTTGAAGGAGTATATTCTGCTTTAAAATATGCTTGCAATGTTTTTTTTGTAGAAAAAAGAAAAAAGTTACTTCGTAAACGGCATTGCATTTTAATTTATTTTCCTGTTAGTTTTTTATTTTTCTCGTTTAATATTCCTATACGGTGTACTAAACTTTTACGATCAATAAAAAAAAATCTTGGAATATTTATGCGTAATATAAGCGAAGCGAGACATTTTATTTTTTATTTATTTTTTTTTAATATTATTTTTGACTCACGAAATTTTACTGATGAAATCATCATTCTTCGAAACTTTTTCTATCACTGTGAGATAAGACAAAAATAAAGTAAAACAACTCTTATGACACTGAATACACAAAAAAATTCCTACTATAATTTTAAATTTCATATTTTTTGTTTGATTTCCTATGTAGAAAATTTTTTAAAGATGTTTTTTATTCGTTTAACCAGTCAATAATCACTTGCATACTAGAATCACAAAAAAATTTTTTTTTGAGGAATAACGTTTGCGTCAATAGTATTTCACTTGTTTATGCATTAAGTTCGATTGCATATACGACTCCATGTAACGAGAGAGAAAATCTTCATAATTTATTACAGATTTAATAAAAACCACGAGGAAAGATTCACGTCACTCAACCATCAAGGATTTAAAATCTTTTACATATTAATACTATATTTTGAAAATTTTTTTTTATCCCGTATTTCAATTTAGCTTTTAAGTTTGAAGACACCAGGAACTTTATTTTTAGTCTTGTTCAACTTCGAAACACAAAATAGATTGTATCATAGGTAGACGATGGAAAATCATGGAAAATTCAACTTATGCCAAAAAAACATTGTTGCTAGAAAATTAACAAAAATTTAATTTTCATATCCGATTTATATTTTGAAGAAGAGGCATTTTGTACTCTACATCTTGAAAAATTATCGACTTTATATTCCGTATTAATAAAGTTTGTTTTACTGTCCTCGCTATTGCAAAAATTAAACAAGGTATTTTTAATCATGGCTAATCGATTAAAGTTTGATGGACCTTAAAAAAATATGACAATCTAAGTTTTCAGTCATGATTAAAAGTTATAAAATAAAGATGTCACCACTATTCTCGATTGTCTAAGTACTGAGTCGCTAAGTGCATGGTAAATAATAATCGTCATTTTGTAATTGACATTGCAAGGGAATCTAATTTTATAAAATCACGCCAAGAGCTACATTTACCGACGATGATATGAGCTAAAATTTTTTAAGCATACAAACATCATGTGATACTTTGGTATCATGCAAATTTTTTTTTTATTTTTGTAAACACTTAGTTTCTGTTCAATTTTACTTTCCGTTTGTTTTAGTTAAAACGAAAAAACTTTTTCACTACAGGAGTTAATTACAAGTCATTTGGACTCTCAATTAGAAACTATTTACACTTGCCCCTTAAGCCTAATTAAGAGACTCCGTGCAAGGCTCTCATATAAAATGGGGATTTCGAAAAACAAGAAAATTTGCTCGAATGAGGTACTCAAATATTGAAGGAGAGCCGGTAATCACGAGCTGCCAGTTCTTCGCGTAAATTCAAGAAAAACCTTGAGCGAGGCCGTGCGAGGACGACAAAATAAACGAGATGAAAAGAGAGAGGACACGATCTCAATAAGTGGATGGATAATGCTTGTTCGCCGAGGAGAACGTTCTTTAGTGCCGATCTTTGCAAAATGAGTCAGACGACGGAGTGTAAAAATTACATAATCATATAGAGACTAATTTCAAAGTTGCTGGTGTGGAGTAGAGCATACATTTGCTATACGCAGTAAAAATACCAATTCACTATAGCTAGTGGATATAATGTTTCAGTGCTTGTGAGTGTAGAAATTCAAGTGTGAGTTGGCGAATCATCTTAGAGTTGTGCGGCTGTGACGTCTCTCAAGTGTAAATTAATGTACCTACTTAACTTTTTTTTTCTTTTTTTTTCTTTCTTTTTTTTTTAGGTGACACAAGTATGGTTATGCATGGTATTCAATCACCTTTATTATTTCAGCTTATATTTTTGCTCTTAAACATAAATCTCAATTATCTTTTAACTTAGCATGTTGTTAATTGAGTATTTTAGTTATAAATCCTTCTTTTAGGTAAATACAATTATAATGTTGCACATTTGATCTATGGTATTGACGTAAATTCTAAAAATAAGTCAACACTAGAACATCAAAACAATACAATGTTCACTAAGTTTTTTTGGGGAAGGACATTCATGAAACATATATCAAAACAGATAAAAACTACAAAAACTGCTGTCAGAGACATTATTAATTTATTGATTTATTCCTAACATCAATGCTATATGCTTACTCAATTTTGGGAATTCAGAATTTCAATGTCGATCAAGATACATACAAGATTTTTGATTTTACCATGTACAGTAATATACGTAATATTGATACTTGAAAAACCAGAAGTGGTGCAATAACTATTTATTTACATTTTTTTTGTAAAAATTATGTATTATAATATAAGTCTGGAATTACTTCCCAAATAACGTAATCATTGCATGGATACAGTTAAAATTACTATGAATAAAGCGATGGTTAACAAAAAAATTTTTTCAAATAAAAGCTAACAATATAGAATCGTGAAAAATGCCTTGTTAAAAAAAATTTTAAGGTAAGTACGAAATAAAACATGTCAATTGATTGGCTTATTGACGTAAGTACTTGTAGAAATAAGATAAAAATTACAATTAAAGGCTAGTTTGACGTACAAATACTGGTAGTTCTCTTAGTTTTACAACTGATTCCTTTTGCCCTTGATGTAAATATCTACGTATCTTTTTGCGAAAAATTATTCCAAGTATAATAATGATCAGTATAAAAACTATTCCAACACATCCATAGCCTAAAATATTAACGTTTATTAGCAATGTTTTGAAACGAAAATGGATTTGTATTTTGTAAATAAATTCCATATTTTCTAATGAGCAAACCACTCGTCAGTTTTGTTGTGCATTTCAAATATAAGAACCATGAATACTAAAGTTATGAAACAATTAAAAAATTAAGGTGTGTATAATTTGTTATACTCTCTAACCAAGAGGTTAAATAATTTTGATAGATTAATTACCTAAAAAATTCACATTCTTCAGATTTTGGACCTGGACTTGAATGTAGACGTCCTTGTAAATGTAGCCGTAGAGATTTGAGACGTTGCAGCCATAGTTACCAATATCATTAATCGACAAATTTTTTATCGTGACAGAGTTAAGCGTCACATTCATCCTCTCATTGTATTCTACCTTTGAAATGGGCTTGCCATTGTGGATCCACTCGATCAAGGGAGCAGGTGCTCCTCCTGCCTCGCACTTCAACTCAACTGTCTCATTTTCAAAAGCATTTATGATATCTGGCTCGATAATGAAATAGGGTTTTGACTTGACTTCCAGATCAATGTAGCGGAGAACATCACCACCTATGCCATTGGATACTTTGCACTCGTATGTGCCACTATCGTTAAAATTCACGTTAGTGATTGTGAGAAATTTACTAGTGTTTGCGTAACTCATTCGATCGTTAGGCTGTATTCTAAGTCCGTTCCTGTACCAGTGCACATAAGGTACAGGGAAACCACTAAATATGCAAAACAACGTAATTGCCTCCCCAAGAAGTATGGTATTATAGCTATGGCTGACGTACTGCTCCATTGGCGCACGGTTTTTTGAACTTACTTTCAAGTCAACGATAAGATAAGTAGAGTTGCTGGTTCTGTATTCTGTAAGAATGTCTGAATAGATGAGGCACTTGTAACAAGAGGCATCATCCATCTTGACATAGCTGAACCACAGGTTACCTTCAGGACCAAGGGTTATGCGATGATTGTCACGTAAGATTTCGTTACTGTCACTAGACTCACAAGTGTTCTGCTTCAACCAGAAAAATTCGGCTTTGGGTGTTGCATGAGGCACATTACACTTGAGGTGCAGATCATCGCCCTCTTTTACCCTCATTGTTCTTGTGCCCTGATCTTTGAACGAGCCTAGTTCTGATTTCCGCACAAATACTGAGTTCGAGGTGGCAGTACCAAACTTGTTACGTGCAAAACATTGATATTGACCAACATCCTCGTCTTGAGGTTTGGAGATGATGAGGGTACCAGAACTGGGCTGCATGGAGATACGGTCTTCATTGTCCTGCCATTCCAAATCCTTTTGATTTTTGTCCATTGATATCTATAATTTATAATTACTAAAGTACATCATAATTATTGAATTTATATTGAAATGTGTCTTTTATAAGCATGAAAGTGTGTTATTACACAATTACTCAACGGTGCTTGAAAAAATTTCTTCTTTTTCTCACAATGATCTCAAGTTAAAATAACAGCTGTTAATCAACTTCATGTTCTCAAAATACCCTCTAAATATGTAGGCATTAGCATACTAAATTCCTTACATCAGATAATAAATGGATCAACTTTTATTTTACAATCACAAATATTGGACAGTAAAAATATTAGTATGTATAATAAATAATTTTCTAAAATAAAATTTGCTACGAAAAAAATTCATAATAACTATCTAAGATTATTAACATACATTCATGGAATTGATTATTTTATTTTTAATACTATACATACTTTGAGTTAGTTATAAATTTTGTAAATTTTTGTCATAAATCTCTGAACCTTTTTAATGGAAAAAACAGAAATAAATAAATGAATGAACAAAAAAAGTTGCGGTTTTTAGGGTTTGGCCTAAAGGAACCTTGCCTGCCTCCTTGCTGGCTGGTTAAAAACCTCACGCGGGTAAGCGGCAATAAATATATTTCTTGGTCGATTGTTGACGATGGCGGCGCGTCACGAGCTCGGGACCTGTTGGAAAAAAGACATGGTTACAAACGGCAATCTTGAACCAAATTATTATTGTCATAAATACGTATTGTGTCTGTTATGAGGAGTGAATAGATGCGTAAAAAAAAAATGAAAACCCAGTAATACAGACCTCGTCCTCGTAGCTGTACTCTTTAAGCTGCACTCGCTGTGCCTCAGACATGATCTGATCGCTTTTCTTGGGGCGCCGGAAGTTGAAGGGTTTGGCGATGTCACGTGGTCCCTTGACCAAGTCGCAAGCCAGGACTGCATTTTGTAAAATGTTCTTGGCTGCAACTTTGTCTCTATTCCACGACAACGCACATTTGGAAAATT